TTATTATTTGCGTTATATCAATTCATATTTTCAAAATTTACCAAGAGTTCTATGTCCACAATAAACACACCATGGCTTATGTCCCTTGGAAATGACGTCATTGGTGCCCAAACGATAAACGAATGACGCCGCCAGACCTTATTAGACCCATTTCACGTGGTGCAGGTATAGGTGTGGTTCTTGTGTCTCGATCGCGCAGGCTACTGTTTTAATCCACCTGTTGCTTGGCCGCCAGCTTGCTATGTGGTCAGTTCTACACTGTAATGACGTTGCAGTTTGAAAAACGATACATTGTACTAAGAATGTTACCACGTAACCAAATTGTATAACATATACAACCTGAGTCGGTCGTCTTTCCAACAGTACCTTTTTTCATGAAACCTATAAAACGTGTATGCACTACATCTTGCTTGCCATCGGTGAATGTGCCGGCATTCTACGTTTGTTACTAAAGTTCTTACATAAATCGCACGATATGTCACTCCTCTTCCACCTAATTCACTTTTATATCGATAGTATTCTACATCACGCAGATAAATGCAATTTGCAGTTTTGAACACTGTTTGAAATTCGTTTTTCTATGATAGCATCCGCTGATTGTAGATAAAATTTACTGAAAATTACATGCATCGTAAATCCGCCAGTTTTGACACATTACTAAATCACCATTCACCGCGCTTTATGTAATTTATGGTAAAATGTCAAATTTTACTGGGAGAATTGAATTTAAAATAAAAAGATGTATCATTGTGATCAGCAGTAGTTTTGTTGTTGTATGATCGAATCACCAATGCTCGCTCTGAAACATTATCAATGAACCGAGAATCGCTGAGAATGTTTTGGAAAATACGCAAACGCCAAAGTGAAGTTTCAGCCATATTACATAGTGTTTATAAAATCACGCCACATGTATGTCGGTTATGTTTTCATCCATAAAATTCAACACCATCTTCCTTACATGAATCCCTGAATTCCTCATACAGTTCAAAATAAACTGACAAATGGACTTTGTCACCAATAACGAAGTGTTTCAGTGAAATCTAACGAAATATATCGAAGATATGAGTTGCCGCTGCTGTGAAAGAATACTTGTTTGAAATGTATACAAAGCCAATCTCAGATTTTACACTGTGTATCCGTCAGCCTACTTGTTGCATACAATTGCTCATTAGTTTTAGAACATGCATGGGAAAGGTATCAGAGTGTTTATAGTTAAATAAAACAGGTGTATGCCAATGATTTTCTAGATTCATCACAACATATTATAGTTTTGAAAGCATGACGCCATAACTGACGAACTCACGCGCACAACGATGACGGTACTTCTCTTAATTTCTGACTATTTCCCTTGGTCACAATGAAAACAAAAAGAAAATAACAACCAGCAGACTGTCAGAAGTTTCGGACTACTTACATGTCACATTTATGCATATCGTTGCTTGAAACAACGAAAATGTCCTTCAAAAACTCGCGGTCAGTGAACACGCCATTTTGCAAAAGTCGCCTCGATAGTGATGTCATAATGGACGCCAACATTGTTATACATATTTGGTATTTTCATTGAGGCGAGGTTATGAATGAAAATACACACGATAACCGGTCCTGCTGCTTACATTTTCTGTTCTTATGCTTCTTCGTATTTTCACGAAATTTTTTTTCACGTGATTAATATCAGTATTATTATCTTTTGATTTGGGACTAGACAGGAGACCAGTTTAAATTCAAGTGGCACCAAATACGTCATAATCAAAGGGCGGTAACTCTGGCCTGTTTAGCTCGGCAAAAAAATACCTCATATTGGCATAACATTTCAGCACTTATTTTGAGGGTTATACTTACGTTGTAAGAAAAATGAGTGTATATTTTCAAACATTGGTATTAACTTATTAAAACAGTTCACTTTGATTCACATAAGAATAAATGTGATTTATTCGTGTACACTTGCCCTTTAAGACACATGACACTATTTCAAGTAGGGAATAATCTTGTTACACATTAAGGGCAGTTCATTTAAAATTCGTTGTGATTTTATATTTTTAAGAATTAGCTGTCATATGTTAATTCTCAACAGTCTAGTCTTTGTGAATTGCGGCAATTTCTTTTTCCGTGACAAGTCCTTAAGTTTTTCTGGTGAAACGCTACTATATAAATTATGTGTTGCTATTTTCACAAGGTGGTTTTGTTAGGTAACAGGAATGGCCAAGATCATACATCTGGCAAGGCTCAGCTGTTACCATGCATGTTATGAATGCTCTTACTGGCGAGAATATAAACATGATAAAAAATCATAACAGCAATAAGAGAATGTAGTCAACATGGGCTATTCCAAGTAATGGGAAAACACAAGAAAAACTCTGTCATGGGTACTTATCTTCATCCTGATATCCATTTGACAATTAAACAATGTTGTTTCCTGTTATAGGTTATCAGATTTACTATTTCCTCCTAAAGATGCACTGTGAATGTATTAAGTGGCCAACCTTTACATTTTGTTTATTGTTTAATGCTGCTGTATGGCGACAGTGAGCAACAGCATGAGCATTGATCTAAGCAATTGGGACACGATGTCATGTGTCAACCAACGCCACGAGCCTGACCACTCAGGCTCTTAGTCTTAGTCACCTCTTATGACCGCCTCCCTGATGTAGTGGTTAGAGCGTCCGCCCGGAGAGCGGAAGGTCGCGGGTTCGATCCCCGACCACGTCATACCAAAAGACGTTAAAATATGGTACTTGTTGGTCCCTGCCTGGCGCTCGGCATTAATGGGTACAAGGACTGGTCGGCTCAGAGTCAATATAATGTGTCTGAGTGGGGTATTCATGGTATCTCAGTGGGCTAGCACTATAAAACCAGCTTAAGTCTGGACTAGTACAAGCAGCCGCACATACACATACACACGCATGCACGTCGTCATATGAGCGAAAAATTCTCAAGCACGACGTAAATCCCAATTTCACCTCACCTATGACAAGCACAGATTGTTAAGACCAATTCTAATTCGGATCTTCACGGGTCCTACCTTTAGAACTCAGCACCACTAACTTTACAAACATATGTCACAATACCACTATGAGACAATTTGTAAAAATTGTTGCAAAACACCAAAACACACTGTTTAAACAATGCTGGGTCATCAAGAAATAAGCTTCTGCCAGAATTCTATTATCTCTATGATCCCCATCACACTATTTCCCGAATAACATATTTTGCAATAAATCGGCTATTTTTAGGCTCCATTTTTGTAATGATGACCTGTTAATGTTGAATATTTTGGTTACTGGAAACTTTCCTTGGAGTTTCAACCAGGCCATTTTCATACTCTACTGTTGTTCAGTAATCCCCCTTGTGGTGGCACCAGTCAATGACAAAGTATACGGCTTTTTATTTTTTGCATAGAGCTGCATTTCGGCATAGGTATTTTTCTTGAGCTTGAACAATGTGTAAGAATCTAAACTGAAATGTCCCTGTATGCAATAAACAAGAAGCTGTTATCCATAAAGTTGTATGCTTTATTATAATACTTTCCTGGTTCCTTACTATGAGCTACACTAAACGAACAGTGTTCCCAACGACATTTTTCTGCCAAACAACCACCCAAATTCCTGAGCACCAAGTCATTCATCTGACGCCTGATGTTCACTTGGTATCTTGCAGATTACGGAAAGGGGTAAGTGTACCAAATGGCATGGGGATCACTCATAAGTCACAAGACACAATGTTTATGTAGCAGCCATAAAATGCTGGGATTCAAACCACAGACCTTCTAATCCGAAGTCGGACGCCTTGTCCACATGACCAAAGAGGTTAACCCCGTCAGCAAGCTGACAAGGTAAGGATGTCATCTGTGGGATGACTCCACGCCCTGCTACATTTACATTTCTACATTTCTTAATTGTCCGCGACCTATGTGACCCTTTCTGTTCATTTCTGTCTCGTGTAACAGTGAGGATGTAGCTCACTTGACTAGCTGTTGGGTTAACAATCAAGTTGCTCGCGTCCAACAGTAATTCTCACAAAACTGGTATCTTGTCACTGTGATGTCACCTGCAGCTGAGATCATCATAATGAGGAATTGTGGTGCTAAATCTTAAAGGTGCTTCCAGTGAGTTAATCCTTACTCTCAGGCAATCTGCTGTAACGGATTCAATCTTAAACATGTATTCACCTTGCATTTACTGTTGTGATCTGTGAAATGGTGGCCTGAAACACCCATGAACAGTTATTGGCTATAAGTATTCTCTACTATCACTTCATCATTAACGTTGTGTCACAGAACTGGAAAAGCAGCTGATAAGGCCTGCACTTTTAAAGTTTTGTCTCCAATTTGTCCAAAAAAGACAAATCTGACAAATGTTCAAAACAAAAGGTGATGTTTGCTTCAGGTTGCCGTCAACAAGACACCTTAAACAGAATTCTGCACCAGATATTTTCGGACTAAAGTCAAGGATTTTCAACATCCGTTAAAAACAAAAACATTCCCAAATGTGTTTATGTTTACACTTTCAATCACAAATTCTCGGAATATGAGGAATGACAAACTTTATAGAACAAGGACGAGGAAAGATCGTGCAGCGTGCGGGTCAGAACTCACCTCTATTAGCCTTGTTGACAAAAGACAGAACACTGGAACCTGGTTTAACTTTGTCAAACCTTTACGCCTGAAGCTGAAATCCGTGAATGGCGCTGTGGCGGTGTCTCATTAACTAGTTCCACTGTCAATACGCGCTACTAGCATTGCGCTTGAACATAGATCGGTAGACGGGAGCCCGGTCGCTAGGAATGAGGTACTCTAGAATCTAAACATAGACCCTTAAGTAAGAATAAGAGAACAATGCGTCATGTCAACCATAATATGAGATCAAAATATATCTTTAAAATACCACAAGATGATGCTGGATTTAAAATAATACTATTTCGGCTTTCCCAGCATATTACAGTTACGGTTTGAGATTATCAAGGTGGAACCGGAAAAGACTTCTCTAAGCTCCGTACAGTGTATGTAAGTTTCGCTCATGGAGTAGTTCACATATTACAAATGTAATGTGAAATAGAGGTTTAATCACAACACACAACACGTGTTTTAGGTGAACTATTTTGTCGATATGTCGGCAGAACTTGTGAGAAAGAGTTTGGAATTATTTGAGGACAAGTTTGTGAAGAAAGGTAATCTAGATACTAGATAGACACTGTACTGGAAAGAAAATGGGACATTTTGACCACAGTCATAGTTAAATGCACTGATCAAGCTATGACATTGGATTCGGCCCCTTGGATTCAGCGACTACAAGTTAAGACTCCTAAAGAAGTAAACAAACGTACACAGATATTCGAGTAAACTTTATTTTTTTCAGATGGAAAAGGAAAGGCAAAGAAACACAACAGCACAAACAGACAGGGTGTTCAGAAGCAGCTTCCGAGCAATAAAAAGGAAAAGAAGACTTTCAGATCTGCAATAGGTAATATGCAATCTTAAACAGTACAGCTATGATCATCTGATATACCGGAACAGAATATCCTTCTATCCTTCAATGTCCCATCACTACTCACCTGTATCACATTGAGAATTTGTCAGATCAAAGGGATATCGCTTACATGATATGGCTGAAGGGGTCGTTGTTGGCACAGATACTAGAGATTTGTGATACATAGATATTGATGGACATTTGTTGAACTGGATTCATTGTAAAAACACAGTGGGAAGTATTTGCTCAGGACTGTGTAATGTTCACCAGTTTTTTTGTGCAAAAAAAGGTGCTGTTTCAATAGTTCCTTATAATTGTTGATCCCAGAAAGCCCTTAGATTTGATGGCTGATAATCTGTACAAACATAGTATGACCAGAAATTATTGAGAATTTTAGGAATATGTTTAATTGGATTTCTAGTATAAACAAGCCCAATCTTGACCAACTATCAAGTGATTGGTTTCATTCAAGAGAGACAACTCTGTTAATCCTTTTTCATTAGTTTGTGAAGAGTTATCCCCCTTTGTTTACTTGCTAGTAGACGACATTTTCAGTGATCCTCAGTATGGATGATTTAGAGAAGAGGAAGTTGATATTAGAGTATTCTAACAAGGACATCAGATCAGCTAAAGTGATTTCAAGTAGAACAGGCCTCCCTTTGTCCACTGTTTATCGTGTTTTGAAAAATATTGCAAATGTATATGGCATTGAGCACCAGGGAGGCGCAGGTAGGCCCAGAAAACTGACTGTCGGTGACAGGAGGCAGCTTGGTATTCTTGTTTCTAAAAACAAACGAAGGAGTTTAGAAAACGTAAGGCTGGATATGATTGATAGAGGAACTGTGGCTGTCTGTAAGGAGACAATTAGAACTGAGCTGCATGCAATGGGTTGGCAGAAAAGTCGAGGAATTCCATCACCGATCATGAAACCTGAACAAAAGGAGCGAAGGTTGAACTGGTGCTTACAGCATAGAAATTTAAACTGGGACAATGTGATATTCTCAGATTAAAGTTCTGTGTGGCTGTTTCCTAATACGCTGAAATTCTGGACCAAACAAACTTAAAAACCTTTGTATCAGCGCCCAAAGTACAGTCCGAAATTTACGTGTGGGGTGGTATATCTGTGTTAGGGGCCCCTCTGTGTATTTGAAGGGAATGTGAACAGTGAGTGGTACACAGATATTCTCGAGGGACATTTACTTACATCTGCTCACATGTTCTATGGAAATTTTTTGATTTTCCAGCAGGACAACGACCCAAAACATCTTTCAAAGCATTCAAAGGCCTGGTTTCGGACCCAAAATATGACATTATTAGATTGGCCAAGCTATAGCCCTGACCTAAGTCCAATAGAAAATGTTTGGGGACTTATGATGCAAAGTGTCAATAAGAAAAATCTGACAAATATTGCTGAAATGAAAGAAGAGGTGGTCCGATATTGGGACAGCATGGACCATGACTTTCTAACTTCTTTGATCAGTAGTATGCCCCGCCGCATTGAAGCCTGCATTGCTGCCCATGGTGCCTTGACAAACTACTAACTGTTCACCTGTCTTTGAATCTGGAGTTATGTTCTGCTAACATTCACATTTAATACATGAGTAATGAGTGAAATTTTAAAAAAAAATTACAATCTTTAAATGCTCAATAATTTCTGGTTGTACTGTATTATGATATGCGTTGTGACACCCCTCCTAAGTGTAGGCTCACCTCAAGAGAGACAGCTGATCAGATCATGGCTTATTTCTTACAGAGAAGCACCAGGCCGAATCTTCCAAGGATCACACAGCTGAGAACATCCACCTTCTGAAACAGCTCACAGATGTTGCCAAAACAGATGAAACTTTCACGAAAAAGGTCTGAACTTTTGCTCAACCATTGTCACGACAGTGATGTCCTTCATCACAGGGCGGTGGTAGCCTGTGGTAGCAAGCCCTCTGATTGGTCGACGCATGTTAAGGAGACATTTACAGCTGATGCTTTTCTTTGAGAAGCCTTTGCTGGAAACAAATTCTTACATTTCCAAGTCAAACAGGTGAAGAAATTAAAAAATTCCCTCAGATTTATACAGAATGTGCGGATTTACAAGCATCGACCAATCAGAGGGCTTGCTTCAACCACACACACATTTTATGCGGACCCATTGTCATCCATTTGTGTCAAGATCGTTTAGTTGTGGGTCAAAATCGGCTTTCAATCGACTTGCAGAAATAACAATAAAGAATTGGTAGGTGTCATGAGTGGTGATCGATAGGCCAATCATCCATGATTATGTTTACGTTAAGTTTAAATCGATTGCATGCGATGGTAGCGAAGCGATCGGCAAAGCAGGTGGGTGGGGTACACCAAAGTGTCCGGCCTTGTCATGATGTATGACACTGTGAAGCATTTTAAGTCGGAGGACATGTCAAAAACAATTTTTTAAATCTTTAATCCTCTCAAAGACACGACGGCCTATGCTCACAACCAGTGTACCAATGCATGGTGTTGGGATCCATTTGCACGATGTTACAACATTGTTGTTGGGTGGATGATGATGATAATAGTTGGAGATGGAGATTTATTACCCACGTGGTCAACGTATGGGTAGTTGCATACTAATCTCGTACGTCACACGAGTGTCGTATTGCGTTGACCTGTGTCGTAACGACTTGACCTGAGATTCTAACGATTTGATTGGATAACCAATGACCTCTCAATTAGGTCACGTTGTGACGGAACTACTTTTTCATTCATAACAAAAACGTGAATTCATTCATTCTACAACTTAAATGCATTGTGGGAAGTAAACATTGCGAACGTTACCGTATCGCTGTTTAATTGGGAGTCGAACTGAGACATTATATGCGTCGAAAAACATAAACACAAAGTTTCCACCAGTGATGTTAGCCGAGTGACTGACTGACTGAGTTTGGTTTTACGCCGCTTTAAGCTATATTTCAGCAACATCACGGCAGGGAACACCAGAAATGGGCTTCACAAATTGTACCCATGTGGGGATTCGAACCCGGGTCTTCGGCATGACGAGCCAACGCTTTAACCACTAGGCTACCCCTGCCCCGTTAGCCGAGTGAAGCAACTGCAAGCTATGAAACGGGGTGCTACGGAGTAGTTTAATGTAGGAGGCTGTACGAGGTGATGACAAGTGACATGCATCGTGACGTCGGTTACCAAGGGGTCAGACGAGCAAGGCGTAGTGACGTCATGCAAAAAGTGTACTACAGAACAACATTCTTCCGCAACCTCTTTATGAAACCGGTTTCGGTTTGAAACCATTAAAATAACACAAATACGCTATTTTGTCGATTTAAAGCATGTAAGACGTGGGTAATAAATAAAATACCACACTCGGTCTCATAACATACGAATTATACGAAACTCGTGACCTTCCTATGGTTTCTGACCTCGCTTTCGCTCGGTCAGATACCATAGGAAGGACACTCGTTTCGTATAATTCGTATGTTATGAGACCTGGTGTAGTATTCTCTATTTATGATATAATAGGTAGGATTCTCAACAGGATAAAGCCAACACATAGACAATATCTGTTTGTGTCATGTAGGGATAAAGATAAAAATATGAAAGGTCAGGTAGTTAGTGTTTAAAAACAAATATGGCATTACCCTTTTCATTGTGAATTGCATTATGTATTCATATTCATAGCTTTCAGCTGTGGGGGCAGTGCCAATTTACGCTTAAATGGGGTACACAAACTATGTGATCTAGACTACCAGTTGTCCAACTCCCATTTTTGTGGAAGCCGCAGTGGCTGTGTGGGTTAGATGACTGTGTGCTGGCGATTTGGTGCCTGACTATAAGAGTGTATGTTCAAATCCTGGATGGGACTCAACGTAACTAAAGTACTAGAATCTGTACTTTACTGAGAAAGTGTAAGCCAAATATAGCATATGTTACATTTAACAATATACATTACGAAATAATGTAGCAAGAACAGTAGCCTTGAGGTATCAGTTTCCATATCTGTGCTAGTAGACCTCTACAGCCTTTTCCCCAATTGAGAACGTTTGTATTTTGCTGAAATAAGTCCCCAGTGTAACATGTCACTGTGTGTACATCTGACTCTGCACTACACAATGTTATGACAGGACAGGCAGACTTTAACTAATGTGACATCTCACAGTAAGAGTAGTGGCAATTTGATAAAGGGCAGTTACTCTAGCTGATAGACCAGTCACTATACCGATGAATTTGAATCTAACACAAAAACAAATAGACATAAAAGAATCAAACCAACGCGGACTGCAATAAAAACAACAGACCAACTCTAGAAAAAAATTGCAATATTTTTGTCACAGAAATAGAAAAGTTGTTTAAGAAACTTTCATCATTTATTTGTGCATTTTCCAAGATTGTTACAAGGGCGCTTTGGCAACTAAAGGAACAGCGCAAAAAGCGAGATGCACATGTATTAGTGACGTCAGAGACATGTGATTACTGCTGATTGACAAAGTGAGAGAAAATGAAAGTTTATTTCTGTCTGTCTGTCGCAGGAAAGAACCATGTTGAGTAGGGGAGGACTATCAACAGTAAAAGTTGGTTGGTCTTTTGTCCTGAACTCATAAACTAACATACAGTCGAGCACCGTTGTCTCGATATTCATGGGACCAAGAAAAAAATATCGAGTTATCCGAACTTCGAGACATTCGACCATGACATATCATCATATATCACTATGAAAGAAATCAAAATGCTTCTCAGCATGTTTGATTTAAAACTATAATCCGTTATCAGTACTGTTTAGTCGTAACAGTGAGTACTTCCTAATTAATTCCTTCTTAGTTAATCCTAATTAAATAACAAACAACTGACACCTTCAACCCAATTAGCCCTAATTAGTTTACACTACCGCATCCCTTTGATTCATGTCGCATCGTGTGTAAATGTGTGGAAACAGTTCAGAGGGATACTTGCCCATGAAAGGTAGGTGAACATCGAGATTTTTTGCAAATATCGAGTTAACAGGGTAATTTTGCTTGTTGGGACCATGAAATTATATCGAGATATCCGAAATATCGAGACATCCGTATCAAGTTAAAACAGCTTGAATAGTGATATATTATGAAGGATTTTGCCGGAACAAAGATGTTACATCGAGACAACCGAGATATCGAGTTATCAGAGTTCAACACAACGGTACTCAACTGTATATGTTTTAGGAAGAGGTATATTAGAGCAGTATGTAAATAAGCTTTCTTGTCAATCCAATAAAGCAATTCCCTGTTTCTGTTTAAAGTATGGAGAGGTTTTTATGGGATGGTAACAGACTTGGGAACACTCACTCCTTAGTTCTGATCACTGATTTTGTGTATTTGTATGTGACTGTGGCATTGACTGATGCTGTACACTTGGTTTGCCAGCTCCAGACAGGGTTTCACACAGTTGACAAAGCCAGCTCCAGACAGGGTTTCACACAGTTGACAAAGGCAGCTCCAGACAGGGTTTCACACAGTTGACAAAGGCAGCTCCAGACAGGGTTTCACACAGTTGACAAAGCCAGCTCCAGACAGGGTTTCACACAGTTGACAAAGCAAGCTCCAGACAGGGTTTCACACAGTTGACAAAGGCAGCTCCAGACAGGGTTTCACACAGTTGACAAAGCCAGCTCCAGACAGGGTTTCACACAGTTGACAAAGCCAGCTCCAGACAGGGTTTCACACAGTTGACAAAGCCAGCTCCAGACAGGGTTTCACACAGTTGACAAAGGCAGCTCCAGACAGGGTTTCACACAGTTGACAAAGCCGTGATTGTAGAGTGCAATGTAAAACACCTTACAGTCACTCAACCTCCTATGCAAAGGGGGCCGGTGGGATAGCCTAATGGTTAAAGCGTTGGCTCGTCAGGCCGATGACCCGGGTTCGAATCGCCACATGGGCACAATGTGTGAAGCCCATTTCTGGTGTCCTCCGCCGTGATGTTGCTGGAATATTGCTAAAAGCGGCGTAAAAACCAAACTCAGTCAGTCAGTCAACCTATGCAAAGGCAGAAACCTGATTGACATTTGACATCCTTCCACCTAACATGCCACGATAGAACTGAAATACTGTGTGAAGCAGCATTAAACCCCACCCACATCACTCACTCCAGACTGTGGATACTTTTCCCTTCAGATCAAATTTTAAATATGTGTGCTGTGGCAAAGCGAGTGAGTTTGGTTTTTGCTATATTCACGCCAGGGGACATTAAGTGTCTGACAATCTATGACCAGGGATTTACGGAACGCAAATTCCTGCGTCCTATACACTTAAAACTTGACAATGGACGCAACAAAATTTATTAGCGCCTCCACAGGGACTCAGAACAAGTCCAAATACTTTTTGTAAAAATTCAATCAAGTAACAACAAGAAGACAAAGTCATCAATATCCCCCACAACAGCAAAATACTCTTTATGAATATGTCTACTAATTATGATTATGTCAATGTTTTGGAGTGTATACAGTAAAGTGGAAGGAGCGTATTGAAAGGTTTTAAGATCTGCTCCAGAAAGGAGCACTACCACCAAATTCAGTTGAAGCCTAACTTGTTGCCATGGAAAATGCAACAAGATGACATCCTCATAGCCACAGCCTAAGTCATGTTTCCATGGCAACCACACCCCAAAAAAATTCATATTTCTAACCCCCAAAAGGCACATCTGGGGATCATGCTTGATATGTGTACCAAGTCTGATGAAGCTAGCATGTATAGTTTGGGAGATCTGTTCCGGACAAGATGACATCCTCATAGTCACAGCCTAAGTCATGTTTCCAAGGAAACCGCAAAAAATAAAATTCCCATCTGGGTCTTACCCCCAAAAGGCACATCTAGGGATAATGGTTGATATGTGTACCAAGTGTGGTTAAGATATCACCAATAGTTTAGGAGATATGCTTCAGACAAAGTGTGACAGACGCACGGACGGAACTCGTTTCTATATCCCCCGCAACTTTGTTGTTGCAGGGGATAATAAGTTATCACTGAGTTTGCTACTAGCCGGGTTATGGTATTATTTGCAATTTAATTACTGTAACAATGTGATGATCATGATACACAATACAATAACAGTATTAATAATAATATGTAAGTGTCTGGGACCCCCATGTTGTTGTGCAGGACCCCTGAACATTAAGAGTATGAGTCCCAGGGACCCTCAAATACAGGACTCCACGTAATCCCTGTATGACTCAGCACATCAGAGCATATCATGACTTCTCTGCTATCCCCGAAAGCGTCGATGTGCTGACCATGTTCGTCTACACTTATACACTGCTGCTTTCTGGCATTGTAATTATGGTGCAATGAATTTAAGCCTTGGTCCACTAAAGACTGGACAGGGGCTGTGGGGTAGTCTAATGGTTAAAGCATCCACTCACTCACTCTGGACATGGTAGTGGTTGCTCCATCACAGAGATGGAATACTCTGCATGTTTTACATTGAGAACCATGTGAAAGTCAAACTGTATTCATTTGCTCATGACCTTTTCTGTTGCAGGTATTTGGTTATACAGACACCAAAGCATCCCATGAACCGAAAGAAGAGGAGTCCACGGTGTTCACGGAAGCCGACTTTGAGAAGTTTGAGAAAGAATACAACTTCCAGTGATATTCCAATACGTTAGGGATGCAGATATGTGGATGTTGGATCACATACAGTGAAACAGAGTTTGTGAAATTCATTTTGAAACTATTTTCAGATGGAAGTCAAACTTTTGATTTGTTCAAAATGGGCAAACACACAGCACCTCATGTGGTGGGTCAGCTGTTCGTAACCATTTCTTATCAACAGTTTGTTCCACTGTGAACATTACTTGTTGTGCAACCAGGTCTGTGAAAGCATTAAATCTTCTTATTATACAAACAAGTTTGTACAGCTATCACATTGCTTGTTGTATATCACTTCACCATCACTCACCTCAGAGCTTCAGTACAAACACAATTCTAAACTTGTGTATTGAATGGGAACGATCCCAAGCCTGATTCAAGACATGAAAAGATCAGCTCATGTTTCTAAAAACCAGGAACAGCAGCACTGTGTAGACATAGAGTGGAACACGGTCTGTCTTCACCAAGTAGTGCGTTGCTGCAGGGTCGGAAACATCAGCACTGAAACACCCGGTGAATGTTGGCCATGTTGGAGCGAGCAAGCTGGGTTTGGGGCATCCTCGATAATCTCCAGGGTATACATTACGATCACTCTCCACTATACCCTGGATGCATCCATCACTTGGCCTGATAATTATATTACCTCCCTTTGCTGGCTCCGCATTCTCACAGAAGCCAATCTGCTAAGCCGCCGTTACATCCGAGCTTGCCAGTGTCAACAAAGATAGCGGTCGCAGTCGCGAAGGTTTGTTCGCAGTAACACTCAGATTTTTGGAAAAATAATACAGACAAATTGACAGATCTGAAACTTTCAAAAAATATATAAAAGAACTCCTTCCACATCTTTCAGAGTACCCTCTGCATCAATTGTGTTGCCAAGTTTGAACAGTTAGATAATTTAAGAAGCCAAAGTGAGTTTTGATTGGTTCGCTCAACTTCCCAGCGTAGACACCTGATTGGATAAAAAGCCAGCCAAGGGAGGTAATATAATCATCGGGCCAAGCCGTGGATGCATCCAGGGTATAGTGGAATTTGATCATAATGTATACCCTGGAGATTATCGAGGATGGGTTTGGGATCACTTTCTCACTATCACAGCCCTATTAGAACAAGACATACCATGAACTGGCTCCACATGCATGCCCACCAGCCTGTTTCAAAGTATAGTGTCCATCTTTGCAACCATGTCTGTGCAACTAAGTTTACTTTTCTTTGCTAATATGAGTGGACCATCCCATAGTCCAATCAGAAAACGTGTTGCAAAAACATGCTATTGCACAACTTATGTTTTACAAAGAGTGGTGCAACTGTCAAGAAATGATGTCTCAAAACTAGGCTTTGAAAGAGACTAGTGAACATGCTTGCTTCAAGGAGATGGTATTCCGGAGGATGAAGTAATATTTATTTAACAGTTACTCGAAATAAAATTCATACAAACATGTTCAAAATTCTGTTAATCTTTTATTTGCATGTTATGAAAAAGGCATACAAATTTTGCAACAAATTACCATATAAGCATGTTTGCATGTGATAGTTTGTTCATGAAATATTTTGAGACACAAGTCACTCATTATCTGCTATGCAGTGAATTTTCTGAGGAAAGTATTGAAACTTCTACACAAGATGTAAAGAATATACTGGGAATACACGTAAGAGCCTCCAAACAATATTACACTGAACTGTCATCTTATGGTAAAAACAATGCAGAGAGAAACATTCTTCAAATGGTCAGATACTGCAAGAATGGACAACTTGTATTAAAGTGTATTTAAGAAATATACTATTTTTTAATCGCAATTAGTTCCTAACACCTCAAGAGTGTTAGTCAATTGAAAAGACAAACTTATTTAGGTTTCAGCCTTGCAGTACATTATTTATGAAAATACTATTATTCCCTGAATCTTCGCTTCATGAACTCAAAGGAATACAAATGTACATAAATAAGTCTTTGGCCTAACAACTGTAGCACTTTAAAAAGACCAACAGGCAGCAATGACAACATCAATAGCCTTGACCTTTGCTGGTGGAGGAACCGGGAATATCATCATCGTGGCTACCAGAACTCTGAAAAAGACACAAAATGGTTAGATATTGTTGAATTTTAAAGTTTTCGTGCAATTTTGAAATCTCCAGATGAAGATTAGTACTTCATGAACAGCAACAGTCTTGCCAGATTAATTTTTCTCGTAGGCTCAAATGTGAATCCCTATATTGCTTCACATGCTTTCCTGAGGGGAGTGTAAAATTATGCAGAAGCTGGATACAATCATCCAGTACAGCACTGGCAGTGTTCACGAATAGTGTCTGACACTCTGACAAATCCGGCAGATTTGCCAATGGTCCGATAGAAGTCTACAACCCACCAGCCCCAGTGTCTGACTGTATATTTCACAATGACTTTGACTTAAGTTGTTATATGTGACATGTGATACTTGTTCGCTGTTTATATATCTTGTGTTTGTTAATAATTTCAATGCCAATTATAAGAAATGTTAAATCCGAAATGTATGTTTAATTTTATTCTATGGGTCCTGTGAATTTTCAATGGGTCAGACAGACATCTGAAACTTGCAGGACCCAATGTCCTGTTACCTTGAAACACCTTTCGTGAACACTGACTGGCTGTACTTTATTTAGACACCACTAGTAAATTATTGATGTCAGTACTTGCCATACTCTAATAATCATGAATCAATACTGAAGAACAGTACTGACTACACTGTAACTAGAAACCATTATTATAAATTACTGAAGGACAGTACCAATTGTACTGTAATTAAGACATCATTGATTACTGGATGGTTTATTGTTTAGCGAGGCAATATTCCAGCTGTATGGTAGCGGTCTGTAAATAATTAAGTCTGGACCAGACAATTTAGTGATCAAGGGCATGAGCTCATTAATTACTGAAAGACTGTACTGTAATAGCGATATTTACTTACTGAAAGACTGTACTGTAGTTAGACATAATTACTGAAAGACTGTACTGTAATTAGTCATAATTACTGAAAGACTACTGTAATTAAACAATTAATTACTGTAGAACAGTTCTGGCTGTGCTGTAAACAGACATCATTAATTACTGTAGGACCGTACTGCCTATATTGTAAACAAAAGACAGGCAGTGACATTCCCATCAGTACACAGCTATACATGGCCAGGTACAGTATGCAGGTTACAGAGGCCCAGGACTTGACACAACACTGGATACCAAGCAAAATGCAGTGCTCTGTGCAGACTGTTAAAAGCAAAACAATGCTACTGAACTAAATAAATCTCCCAATGCGACGCTAAACTTGGTGACATGTGACCACTGCCTACGGCATGTCTGTCCTCTATCCATGTTCTTACAATATCAGGACGTGAACACAGTTCTAGCAAGAAACAGCATACAAAGTTGAACAAAGATCCACAACAGCTCTTAACCTGGACACACAATGTACACACAAGCTACCACAGGCATCCATGGTTAGACCAACATTAAAACACAGTCTCAATTATGTATCTGGTTGGAAGCCTGTTCTAAGAAGTATTCAATCTGATTTCAGTGTGAAGATATTGAAGTGAGATATCAATATTTTAGCAGAAACATATTTGCACAAGATGGTCAACATTTGCAAGCTTTGATAAGTTATCCATGGTGATGGTGAACATCCTCTAACAGATCACTATCATGAAGATTTCACATTGTACATTTACATTATCACCCACTAAGTCACGATAGACTTAACATCCAACTGGTTACTTCAAAACAACTTAAAGCGGAGCAAGAGCTACTGAAATGACGTGAAGTTACCCGTGAGTTTTGCTTGCTGACGTGAAGAACACCACTGCTGACAACATCAAACAGCAAATGATCCAAGCTAACATTAGGAGGAATACAGTGCCAGTTGAGTTAAGATCACAAGCTAACAACACTCATACTGAGATATTGGACATAGTTCTAGGTGAGAGCTACCCAACTTGTCTGTTCAAGCCCAAAGTGTAATGCTGTTAGATTCATCATGTCGATATGTCTCGACCGACTGCTGCAAAATAAATCATTAACAAACATGAATTGCTTGTCTTTAAGTTATGACTAGAGTTGGTTATTGCTCAAAATATGCAGATCGATAATCGAGCTCAGTAATCGATCAATAATCGATTGTAATTGTAAATCCCACCACAAAACTGATGTGGGCAGTAACGGAACATAATCCTAACATCTTCAATCAAGGATGTTCTAGTAAACCCTGTGAAAGAAGTAATTTTGCATTGAAAGCAGTGTTAATAGTGGTTAGTGTTTAGATGAGGCAGATATGTGGCATGGATGTGGAAAAGGGAGTGAGAGGATAGCGGTTTATACCACAGTTAAAGCTTTTCAGGCAAGATCAGTAGGTGAGTGAGTATAGTTTTACGCCGCCTTTAGCAATATTCCAGCAATAGTATTGGGGGGGGGGGGAAAGGACACCAGAAATGGGCTTAACACATTGTACCCATGTGGGGAATCAAACGAGGGCCTTCGGCGTCACAAGCGAATGCTTTAACCATTAGGCTACCGCACCACCCCTGGGTATATCAGCAGCCTGCCAATAACCTGAGCCAACAAGGGGCATGTATGTGAGCAATGTCTAAGGACTATGGCAAGGTTACGAAGGGGTATACTGATTCACACGCCATACTGTGAACTGGCAAGTATCAACTGCCTCGTCTGCAACTTTCAGATAATATATCAAAATGTCCACTACCCACCCATACCTTGTCAATCACACAGAGATTTTGAAAAGTTTGCAGATAATCTATGGGCAAAGACACAAGCTGCAATGTTTATATGGTACCACTACGTGTCTTACAAACATCTGCATAGGGCACTGATTTCACTTTGACATATGTCCAGATCACACCGCTACCTACTCAAATATTCGTACAAGAACACAGTGTGTTTTTCACCTGATAGTCATCTAATGTTATGATACAGAGAAGCCAAACAAAGGGAGGTAAATAAATATTTGCCCAAGGACAATTTAAAACATGTCAACAGATAATCGATTCTGGTGTGTAAGGCTGTGAACTGCGAATAACAAACAAGTTAGTCAAGTTTCATCAGAAAATGAATACAGGATGCAATTTATAATAGGTATCAGATTTGGAAATATCGAGAAGGTGGTAAACTCTTTCCCAAGTGTGGCTGTGTATATATATACTGTATAAGTACATGTATAAGTAAGTACTTCAGTCCACTAAATTTGTAATGTTTTTACATGAGATTGCCCATGTGCCTATTGTCCAGTTGACAACTCTCCTTACAGGTCAATACAGTCATTCTCTTCGTACAATCCAGATATAGTCTTGTATTTTGACAAGTGGCAAAGTACTAGTTATCAAGCTGGGTTATTGCATACCTTTGTTAAGTTACTGTTTGCAAATTAATTAAAATATGAATCCCATAAACAGGCAGGTGTATGTTGTATGGTCAGGTGTAAAATTGCAATGCATCAGTGAAAAGCAAGAGCCCTTACGATGAAGCTCCCATCTTGCAATGCATCCAAGCTGAATGTTTCTCAAACTGACAAGTATATACAGAAAATAAATAGACACATGCAGTAGTATAGCACTGACCTTTTGAACATATTGTGGGTTGACTGTGATTTCTCTATCCATTGTCTTCAACTTTTCATCAAGCTCTATACATTTCTGCATCTGAAAAAAATGTAATTCAGATATAATAGTGAACCATGACAGCTAACAACATGAACAACATAATGATACGAGGAAACATGTTAAGTTTGTGTTAATAAAAACATATAGAAGGGCGTTTGAATTACACATAGAAACAGCTGTAGCCCAATCCTTAACATTACCTGAATGCCTCAAATTTTAAAACCGGGAAGCATGCAACATGAAATATTTGACTGCCAAATCAGGTGACATTTGATCTCACACATGTCGACTGCAGTGGAACCTTGAAACAGAAAGTCCTATTCCTCTTGCTACCATAAAGGACCAGAAAACTCAATCATTCAATGAAGAAACTTTATTTTAAGGCATTCTCATCTGGACCAGACAATCCAGTGATCAACAGTATGATCATCAATCTACACATGGGATGCAGTCACATGTATCATCCATCCTGTTAGTCGCCTCTTATGACAAGCAGGGGTTGCTGAAGATCAGTTCAGACTCAGATCTTCATGGGTATCGTGAATGTGTGGGCAAGTTACTCCATCCATTGCCAGACATATCCTACTTCAGTACAGCCTACCTCCTGGTCCACCTGGAGAAGCATGGTTGCGTTGTTGTACTTCTCAGGGCTGTCCTGGAACCGGACCATCCCGTCCTTCTGGTTGATGGTTGCATAGATCTCACCATCCTCTATCTGCAGACAATAACACAGTAATTGATACAGTTCACAGAAACATTTATGTGACAGGCAATAATGAAACATGATTTGTTTGGTCGGTATTATTTTGATATTCATTGTTTGTATGCCAGTCAGCAACATTCTGTGATTAATCTATGATTTCAGGTATACACTGACTTACTGTGGGGCGAAACCACCAAGTGACTCAAGTCTTACTAGTTTTACACCTAGGTGAAACAGTCGTTAGAATTCAAATTGGTCTGAACGCCAGAGATCCAATAATGAGTGAGTGAGTATAGTTTTATGCCGTTTTTTTAGCAATATTCCAGCAATATCAATATCACGGCGGGGAACACCAGAAATGGGGTTCACAGTAAGTTCCCACATTGTACCCATGTAGAAACCCACCGCCCAAGATCCAATAATGGCAGTCCTCAGTGATTATAACATTTGAGGACTATAATTTTTTTACTCCAAATCAGTTCAGAAATATAAGTTAGAAACTCTGAAGAAAATTTAAAATTGATTTTGCTAAGATTTGAAAAACAAAATTCTGAGGCTGGTGAATCCACTATGCGATGGCGAGTGAGTGTTTATTTTTTCACCGCTTTTAGCAATATTCCAGCAATATCACGGTGGAGGACACTAGAAATGGGCTTTACACACTATACCCATGTGGGGAATCAAACCAGGGTCTTCGGCATGATGAGTGAACGTTTTAACCACAAGGCTACCCCACCGCCCTGCGATGGCAAGGAACAGATCAAGTATTAATGTTGGCTGTTAATGATTGTATGTACCATGTGAAGGACATATTTCTCGGCCTCCTTGGCTCCAGACAGGTGGACTCTGTTGGCCATGTCAGTCAGTGAAAGCGTCTGGAAAGTCTGAAGAGTAATCAAGTTTCTAAAGTAAATTTTGATACCTTCTTCAGTTTATTATGCTAATTGTTAGTTGAAGGTTACAGGCCGGGAGAGCCACATTTCCAAAACTGATGCGCCAAAACTGATGTGGCTCTGCCAGCAATAGTTACGGTTGCGTGAACATGGAATGTGGCTCTCCGACTGTCAAAACATGCTTAGTGATTCAAACGCGTTACAGTATTTAACAAAACAAGGCATGTTTCCTCATAATTTTATTCAGATCACAACAGGTTTTATTTCTATAAATAGCACAATGTAATATACTAATAGGTTTTTTACATTATACAATTATAGACTCTTGTAGAGGTCGATATCGGTTTTTATTGACCTGAGTAAAACAATATCGACCCGAGCTTGCGAGGTCGATATTGTTTTTCTCAGGTCAATGAAAACCGATTTCGACCTCTACAAGAGTCTATAATTGTTTTATTATATAATGAAAGAGAAACGGGTTTTAACATAAACTTTTAATGCACACACTGTGCCATCTATCCGAGTGATCTGATTGGCTGAAAAGCGGGGGAAGCCCCTTCGTACGGGATTCCTTGTCTATTTTTAGTAACCCAAGTCAATGTCGTAATTTATCAGAAAACTCAAGTCAATATCGTGTTTTGTAGTAAAATCATGTGACAGTCTTTTGACCAATCGTGGTACAGGAAAAATACTACCTATATAATAAATAATATTATCACATAATAATAAATCTTAATCTGTAAAACATAATAATAATGATAATGGTTTACTTTGTTGCCATCATTCTCTTCCCACAGAGGTTACTTGTCATATCTTCCTAAGAACCTCTGTTCTAATACGGCAATACTTCCCGGTTCTCGTAAAATCCCCTAGCGGCAAAAGATCGCAACACGAATTATCTCCCTTCTTTCTATCCAATCAGAACACGTGTTACATCGACTTAGATTCAACTTGACTAACACAAGCAAATGTGGGGCCAAAATATCCTCCATCTGCCGGGGACTTGTGTTGATGTTACACACAAGACGTTTAATGGCTAGCTTGTCCGTTGTCAACGAGGGCGATGGAGACGCCACTGATCCGCCATAACATGACTGAGTTCTGTCTAGAAGAAACGTTTGCGCATCGCGCAGGGGAAGAAGTTTAGTTTTCTCGAAGCATACGGAAATTACCGAGGCCTTGCGAATGATCACTTTTGAAACAACGTCGTTGATTGCACTACTAAATCTGATTGCCTCCAATCACGAGTCTTGAACGCTCACACCATGAAAGGGCCGTATTAGAACAGAGGTTACGTGGGAAGATATGACAGGAGTAACCTCTGTGGGAAGAGAATGTGTTGCCATGTGTACAAACAGATAAAATGGCGTAAGATCACAAAACAAACATTTACAATTTACAAACATTCTTTTTTTAACCTTTCTTTTGGACATCTAAATCACTGTTATTGGTATATTTTGGCATGGTCGAAAAAAGGACAATTTAACTCTTCTGAAAAAGATTTCACCTAAATATGAATTTGTTTGAGAATTTGGTTCGTGATTTGCATAAAGCTGTGTTGTTAAGCTCTCTTGTAAACTAATACCTTTTAACATATCTTTGATAGTTTTTAAGTAATTCGTAAAGGTAGGAGGGTAATGTTTCTTTTGGCGTTTAGTGTAGGAACAGTCTTTTACCGGTATTGCTAAACACCACGCTTGTGAGTAGGAAAGATTATTCGTTTCTTGTGAAAACACTGTTATACATGGGGACACACTTTTACCGGTTACGGTAATCCATTAATTAATTAATCTATTTTCGAAACGTGGCTTTCCTGGCCTGACACCTAGTTGAACCACAATGTTCAAACTACATAATAATGGCACATAAAGTCTCACAAACCAGTGAGTGATATCATGACACCATCAAGATACAATGGCACATAATCAACCAAGTCCCAGATCCTAATGACCTGACTCATCACTTCATGTCAGACAACATACATAGGTCGCTGGGGTGCAATTCTAGCCCAAATCATTGGAATGTTATGAATATACGACAAGTCTTAGTGAATCATATTTATAACCTTATTTTAGTTTAGTTAAGTCCTACTTTTGGTATACAGCAAGATCACACTCCTTACAATCATAGGACGAAGGTACCTCAAGTATTAAACTCATGCAGTATGCAATGAAACGATCACCAATGTCTCCAAGGATGGGTTCTCAGAAACACTTTTCGAAGCAGCTCCCTTAATGGTAGTTTGACATCAAATACAGGACATATTACGCTTGCTACTTATCTTGCAAACTGACAAAAGCAACAAAAGCATCCGAGTGGAGCATGTACCAAGACAGGGTATTATTTACAAACATGAAGTGACATATAACTGAACTGGGACTGGAAGATTGTCCAGAAGTACATTGTATATCAAATACCTGCATGGAAAAGAAAAATCTGTCTCTGTCCTGCATAAATTATACTGAATTCATTAAGTTCATAGATATTCAGAGATTGCCATTAAATGCCTACCTTAGTTAATCTTTGAATATTCTTCTTGTACAGTGATGTGATGCACTGCTTCACCAGGCCTATGTTGTTGTCCTGGAAACAGTCATGTGATGAAACTAACAAATAATGTCACAGAGAGCTTCACAACATCTCATTCAGCGGACACATGATTACTAGAACTGTCTAGTAGAATATCTCCTTTGTCTCTTGAGTCAGTATAAACTGGCAAACTGGTGGTAAAGTGAGAGAGGAACACTCAGATGGTGGATGTTAGTTCAAAGGTTAATCAATCATCCATGGGACAAAACTTACACCTCAGGGCACCGATTGCCTTCATGGAAGTTCAAGAAGATTCTCATTCATTTTTCTGTCAAATCACATTAATTTAAAATTCAATTAACTTGGATATATTGTCATCTGGACAATACATTAATTCATATAATTTGTTTCAATTCATTGTTAAATTCATAGAATCTTCATTCTTGCATTATTCACCGCACTTAAGTGAATAACTTAGTCTCAACAATGTCCTTGGATACTGTACTAAAATTCTAAATGATATGGACTTGAATCCACCAAGTTTACTTGGCCAACAAACCAGTAACTAAGCCCACCACCCCCTCCACCTCATACATACCCTTGTGAAGGTCTCTGTGTGCTTGGTGACAGTCGTGCGAAGTTCATCAGGATTGTTTGTAGCGTAAGAATGGGCGAGATCATGATATGCTTGACAAAGAGGCTAGAAGGAAAACATTTAGTCAGAACTTCAGTGAGATCTGAGGAAGGATATTATATACTTTAGTGAGATTTAGTGAGTGAGGTATGATGCCGCTTTTAGCAATTTTCTGCAATATGACGGCAGGGGACACCAGAGATTGGCTTCACACAATCATCATCATCATCATCATCATCATCAAGTTGAGTCTGTGGCAATATGCAACATTACACAACATTGGAAATTTTAATATAAATTGTATATTTATATACTTATCCTGTCTCACGACTTGCACCTCTTTCTCTTGCTTCGACTTTTAGTGGAATGACTGTAAACTTTTTTCTATAGGCCTCCTTGTCTATTCGCCTGTGCACTCCATGCTGCTCTCCTTAATTAGCTTCCTAGTTCCTAATAAAGCTTGCAGCATGCTCCAGTAATTGCCCAAATGACTACCTTGAATGATCATTCTCATGTTGGAGCCAACGTTGTAATCTGAGTAGTGGGGAGGCCGGGCGGGCATCCATCGCGTGAGATAGGATAAGTATATAAATACACAATTTATATTAAAATTTCCAATTTTAAAACTTATCCTATCTCACGACTTTGCACTATCCCATGGTTGGATGGCGGGCCACAGATTACCCTTCTGTCTGGACAGTGCAAACAGCTGGTCTTGGAGCTGTGGGGACTGATGACAACCGTAGATAGTGATTTACAAGGGAGGCCTGTTACACATGCACGCAACTCCTATGCTTGTAGTGGGTTCTCCGGAACCCCTTGGCTTACTAAGCACAATGACTCCCTGGGTGATGGGTGCTCCCGAGCGATGTGGTGTTCGGCCGCAACCTTGTACAAGACAAGGGACGCCATTCGGCAAGTAAGCCATGCCTCGCCAAGATTTACAAGGTACCCCCGTAATTTAAGTCTCGCGACTAGAATCGGGCCAGCCCCTGCTTCAAGAAGGCCCCCCAGACACTGACCGAGGTGGGTGAAAGAGAAACCCAACTCAGCATCTCCAAGGTTTTATGTTCAGTTCCGGGCAGCATCAAATTGACCCTCACTCCTTTGCCTAAGCTTAGTCAAAGATGTGCCCGGCAACTTTGGAGGCAGAACGCAGTGAAATCCACTGGAATTCGGGAGTGTCACACTTCACTGACGTAATTGCTCCGTGGAGTAGAGGTCAGTAAGCGTGAATGTCGAACACCTCTGCATCGTCATACTGATTGTGCCTCAGGTCCGTAGGGCCACACTAGGTGGCCATATTCTGATGCCTTGGTATGGAGACCAAGTGAAGTAGTTCTTAAACCCATATAATGAGAACAAAAGGTTGAGATCCAGTTCAACTTTTATTCAGCATATACAAAGAAGTAGTAACGCAAATGCGGAATGTCCCTCATCTGCGTTGTTGGGCCGATGTAAGCTGCTGAGCCAGTACAAGAGGTCCGAACTGGTGTAGTCCCTTGACATCCGTGACAGACAGATCTCGCAGGTAATGTGAAGAGAAGACTGTATCAGAACACCAGAAGCAACCTTCCATGATAGCGATGAAGGAGCAGTTGCTATGGAGGGCCATCGTCGAGGCTAGTGCACGAGTCTCAGGAGGATTGGAAGCGGCTGGAGGAGGCCAATGTGGTCCGGGAAATCTCAGTTCTTGAAGCGTTCGACAAGGGTATGAGAGGTGCTTCCGTAGCCGTCGACGATCCTTGGAGGCAGCAAGGTAAACGTGTAGAGTCCTAACAGGGCAGAGTGTCAAATCTTCATTATCATCAGGCCCAAGAATGGTGGACAATGGGGGAATGGTAAACATCCGGTCCGGTTGCCCTGGCAGTTTTTCCCAATGAAGTCCCAGCGGAGACCCAGCAAAGCCTTGCCATGCTTCTTCCGCTCGAACCGCACCCGATTGACATCAAGCGCATGCAGTTCAGATATACTACCAGGAAGAATATCTTGAATGTCACTTGTTTGAAGTCCTTGTCTTCTAAAGGTTCATAATCTGTAGAAATCATATGATGAAGGACGGCGGACAGATCCCAGGCCGGAGGTCTGAACTTCCTGGATTGGTCAGAGAGTCTATAGGAGCGTAGTAGACTCTGCAACTCGGGAACAGTGGAAATCTTTGTGCCCGTGGTGGTAGCTAAAACCAAGTTGATGGCGGCTAAGTAGATAGCTAACGTAGTACCCTTGAGTTTCTTAGTAGTGCGGAGATGCTGGAGAAACTCAGCAACGACCTGAGCCGAGGTGGAAGTGGGAGATGCAATTCCCCTAAGCTTGCAATAGTCTTCAAACTTCTTCCACTTGTTGTCGTACAAGGAACGGGTTGAAGTACGATGCGCTGAATCGATAGCTGTGGCTACTCGGCGAGAGTAGCCCTTAGCTATGAGAGACCTCTGAAGATGAGCCAAACGTGTAGATTGAGGGTCTGAGGTGACCCGTGGCGCAGTTCCGAGTGAGGGTGAAGAAATAGGTCGTCCCGGTTGGGAAGCGGTACTGGGTTCGGCTCTGCGAGGTTTCTTAGGTTGACGAACCAACTTCTTGCTGGCCAGAAGGGTGCACCCAAAAGCAGTAGTATGTTGCTTGTGGCCAATAGTTTCTGTATTACTGTTGGTAGCAGAGCTGGAGGGGGGAACACGTAGGCATTGAGACCCTCCCATGATATTGCCAACGTATCGAGGTCCCACACCAAGGAGTCTGGGATTGGTGATACGAACTTTGGAAGTTGGTTGTTGAACCTTGTGGCGAACAGATCTATTTGAGGCCATGATAACGGGTAGATCATCGACTGAAAGATCTGGGGCATTAACTTCCACTCTGTCGGGGACGGTCGGTTGGATCAGGACAAGGCATCGGCGATCACATTTTTTAACCCGGGAATGTGTCTGGCTCTGGCTACGATGTTGAGTGAGTCAATGAGATGGAAGAACCTGATCGCCCATTGTAGCAGATTCGCTGAGCCTGTCGAGCCTAGATGATTTATATACCAAACCACCGTCGAATTGTCTGATTGGATCAACAGACTGGTTGATTGAAGCTCTGTTGCCCAATGTGAGATGACTTGAATTACCGCCTTGAATTCCAGCTCCTTTATATGAAGTACCCGTTCGTCGGATGACCACAGCCCGGCCACTTGGTGGTTGAGGAAGTGAGCTCCCAAACCCATGAGGGATGCATCAACGAATAGATGATGAGTCGGTGCAAAGGGCATCATAGAGACTCCGGTGCAAACATTCCGTTCGTCGAGCCACCACTGAAGGACTGGATGAAGAATTAGTTCCTTGGGGTTGTCGGCCTGAAGGTACGGGCGTAGAAATCGCTGTATCGGCCGAAGTTGGAGCTGGCCTCTGCTTGAGCTGATGTCAGAAGGCCCAGTAGCTCCTGCCACTGTCGTAAGGTTCTTGCCTGAGACAGTCCTTGAGGAATGCATTGCTGAATCTTTATCCACCTGTCATGAGGTATGAACATCATCCCCTGACGAGTGTCGAACAGTGCTCCGATGAATTGGAGTTTCTGAGTCGGTATTAGTTCCGATTTTGCGATGTTCAACAGCCACCCTAACTGTCTGAGCAACGTGGTGGTGAACTGTAGCTGGCGAAGCAATCGTCTATGTAGCTTTCGGAGGGGATCCCTTGAAAGTGGAGGAAGCTCATTATGGGCTTGGTAATTCGGGTAAAAACATCGAACATCATAAGAGACTGTAGGCCTTTTAGTGGTATCAGAGCAATGATCACCCGAACGTCGGTCAGAGGAACTGTATCGAGATCTCGACATGGTAAGTAACGAAGTAGGTTGGTAAGCCAGTGATCTGGATTCCCTAGTATGGCTAGGTGATCCCGGTATGATATGAAGAACTAGTCCGGGTCACTGCAGTTGTAGTTGGTGATCTGGTTCTGATTGGAGCTCTGGTTCGACCATCTGGATAGAATCGGCCATGTGGATCTGTACTGTGATCCCGATTGGTCAATGGCTCTGTAAGGTGATCTAGATCTTATAGGTGACCTGGGTTGGTAAGATGATCTGGATTTGTAAAGTGATCTAGATCGATTCGATGCACTAACTGGAAACTGTGATCGTGATCTGGATCTATAAGGTGATCTGGATCGAACAGGTGATCTGGTTTGCAGTTACGATCTGGCTTGATTTGTGATCTGGATCAGTTAGGTGATCTACTTTGATGTTGTGATCTGGATCGGTTCAGTGATCTGGTTTGATCAGGTGATGTGGATCGTAGTTGTTCTCTGGATCGTGACTGTGATCTGGATCGGCACGGTGATCTAGATTGGGCTTGTGATAGTGATCTGGATCGTGAAGGTGATCTAGATCGTTGTGGTGATCTAGAATGATGTGGCGATCTGGATAGGCGATTAGGTGACGAAACCTGAAGTGCTGAATCATGATGAACGTCCCCCGGCGACGTTGTTTTAGCCAGCTCCGTTCGGTTCAATGAACTGTGGGGAGACAGTTGGCTGGTTGAACGCGTTTGGCCAGGCTCCAAACAAACTGAGACAGTCGAGGGGATATGTACCGATGATCTGGATGATGATAGTGTCAATCTATGGTCCCCAGGTAGTGTAGATGGGACAGGCAATGAAGAATTATCGATCACAACCATCCGTGAGTGATCTGATGCTATGGAAGGAGGTGATTGATGCATACTTAATAGGTGCCGAATGTCCTCAGATAAGTAAAAATCTGATGAAGCGTCCATAAAATCCTCTTGAACCACAGACGTTGCTCTCTTGCGTGAAGGTACGATTTTCTGTCGCTGTAACTTGATACGCTTGGTGGGAGTTGGATCAGATTCTGTTGATTTCCTGTCCCTATCGGCGATTCTCCGGGAGCAAACATGAAGGTAGGCCTTAAAATCCTCTTCTTTTAGTGAATTACACTTGCCACATCGTTCGTTCCAGTTACATTGTCCAATACAGTAACTGCAAGATGAGTGACGGTCGAGGGACGAATAATTCGTCTTGCATTGAGCACAAACTTTCCTTTTCCTTGACTGATTATCAGTTTTCCCCATGATGTTAGGGTGAAATAATGTCCCTAATATACAGCACTTCCACACAGTCATGCGACAAGAAAGAGAATGATCATTCAAGGTAGTCATGTGGGCAATTAGTGGAGCATGCTGCAAGCTTTATTAGGAACTAGGAAGCTAATTAAGGTGAGCAGCATGGAGTGCACGGGCGAATAGACAAGGAGGCCTATGGAAAAAAGTTTACAGTCGTTCCACTAAAAGTCGAAGCAAGAGAGAGAGGTGCAAGTTGTGAGATTGGATAAGTAACTTATCCAGTCTTTCTATAAACATTGACGAAGTCAGTGTGTCAAGACACTGTACCGTATATTTTCCATTACTTCGACACACACATTAGGAAAGTGAAGATGTGAGTTATCTCCCATTGTTGGGTACTTGAATGCATCTTTACTCAGCAAGTGCCAAAAGTACTCCAATAGATGTCAGGTCCCTAATTACACAGATGAAGATGAACCTACCTTTATGTACCTTGCTACCACCTGGGACGTGTACTTTGGGAGGTTAGGGATCTGAAACGACACCACTCACTCCAATCAGGGAACACATTTTGTTAATAATTCTTTGTATAGGTCAAAATATTAACAAATCCATTTCAAAATTCTACAGTGGGCACATTCATAAAACAATTTTTAAAAACTGATTATATGTAATTTTTAAGTTGTGCTCATCCTATTCAAAGCTATATGAAATTGTTATATATCCTTATTAGTGAGTGAGTGAGTGAACTTTCATTTCAGTATTTGCATATGCGTTTTCTGTGTTCAACACAGGCAACACCCTTTAGACACAAACCTTCCCATGTACAATAAGCGCAACCAAAATAAACTTCTTGTAGGATTCCATCATGATATGGCTGACAGCCATGCTGGGAGTCGTCACAGCCTGAAACAGACAAACAGATGGTGACAATTTGCAGTGGAGGATCATCGATGTAATTATTGCCAACAAAATCTTAATGGGCTGGGCCCTACTGATGAGGTATGTGAGAGACATATTGAGATAATATTCAATAACTGTCAGATTGGATCAATTTTCTTCAAGCTGATAATGGATAAGATGACTGTATATACCATAGTAACAATAATAAGTGCTCTGCCTCAGATACCACTGACAAATCAGGATGATAGTCACCCCTAATCATTAGGGCTGGATATTGCCCTGATTCTCATATTGCCATATATTGTAGTAATTTAAGAATTTAACAGACTATTTGTGCACTGTATGTAATGCCTTGGAAGTTGAAGACGAGAATCATGTCTTTTTTTAATGTAAATATTACGAATGTTGGTGTGAAAAATATTTGGTACAACTTCGAAAAGTGTATAGAGGTCCAACCTTAGAATCTATTTTCAAATTAAGAAACAGTCAGGTAATATATTTCACTGCTTTCAATTTCTGCATAATGTATTCCAAACAAGAGCTGGATCCAGTTCACCACTCTACATCGATTTATATAACTGGATAACTGTATTATAGGCCACTAGGCCAATATTACGCAAATAAACTGTCTGTCTGTGAAATATATTGACTAGAAGGTTTCTGCACAAGTGTGTACATCATAAATTCATAATAGCTCTCTGTGTGTGACATCATCTTCTTAGTTGCTGTTTCACCATACTTTCAATCTCCCCGTCCCCATTGTGTATGGCTGTGTGCCAATGGTTTACAGATAAATAAAATGAAATAGAACCTTAATGTGGAATGTTTAATTGAAGTATTGCAACAAAGATTTGCGAACATAATGTTAAGGTAATAGTATAACATGATTTTCATGGTCAGTGTTGTTTGCTTCAACCGAATGCAATTCAATGCAGTAATCAACGTAATTATTGTTACTGTATGTCAGTGATTCATTCAGATTCAACACCAATATAAACATGTGTTAATATGAACTATTGCAAAATGAAACAAAAATATGATTAAGGTGAACTACTTGAGCTTGGAATCTCATGTGACCTCCAATAATTAAGATCCTTGACTAGAATATCATTATACAGTCCTACAAATTATATAAGACTTAGGCCTTTATGATGAATTGATCAAATATGTCCCATTATGAAACAATAATAACAAAATAATGTGAATTGTGATATGGTCACTCAGAGCCAGAGGCTCTACTAATAAGTCCAAATAAAAAAATGGTCCATTTGAGGCCACTTCAAATCCTCCTAAATGTCACATGTGAAACCATTCAAACCCACAAAACTTAAAGCATTTTTGGAAGAATATTTGGCCACCTTTGTAGCCACCTATAAAGATACTTCCACTTGTAAAATGTTACATGAAACACACAGAAATATAAGTACATCTGGCACTTTTAGAGCACATTTTGTGCTATGGAAATCAAGGGCAGATAATTCAAAGGGAGCTAGCTCCGGATGACCAAATATATTGCAGATTCTGAACCATATTGTGATATTCATATTTTGAGATATTGTACCGGCATATACTGGTATATACCTGTTTACCGGTAATATTGCACAGCCCTACTAATCATGGTATAATATTTCAGTAACACTGCGAGGGACATTGTAGAAATGGGCCTCAGACATTGTACACACATGTGGATCAATAGACAGATTACAGGACTTCATATGATGACATCAAAGTTACATCTTACTTAAGACAACAATAGTATACAAATAGACTATAAAAAGGACTTCATTTGAATTTTGATGCAGCCAAACCACAAAGTAATATCAGTTGTCAGACCAAGAAGGATAGATGAGTACAACATCTGTGAAAAGATTAGTTTTGGTACAGAATGCAGTCTGCATGCTTGTGTTGAGTCTGTCATGGAGCACCAGATGTGCAGACAGAAGCCAGCTGTAGCTACTGCACTTGGTACTGTGTGGGGACACACACTGTGACAACCAGTATGGTGGACCCAGTCTACTTACAACTTCAAAGCAGTAGAGAGCCCTATTGTAGTTCTTCAGCGCCGTGTAGATCATCCCTCCATAGTAGTAATACAGCAGGAAGTCCCGTGCGTCAAACTGACCGCCCTGCAATCAGAGACATATCATTATTTCTCACTCAATGGATGTAGAGTCTGCTGGCTGTCTTGTGTCAGGCTGCTTTCATCAATGTCCCAGCTATGACAGCAGCTGTAGTTCAGGCTAAAATTCCAGTGATTGATGTTATCAGCAATGTCCCAGCCATCAGGGTACAAAACACTCAACCAATCACCAACTCTAACCACTAGTAAACACAGAGCTTCCAACACCAAGAGAGAAAAAGCCTGAGATACCAGTGTCCAAGGGCCTCATGCAATGACCAGTTCCAGGGTTCCAGCCTGGCGAACCACACTCAAGATTGCAAATTACTTTCTCAAAGAAGGCACTAAAACGATGTAATTAGACCTATTTGTGTGATTTCAAGTAGTCAAAATGTGCATGGTAAAGTTTGAGGTTTATCAGTTTTGTCATGAGAATGTGGCATGAGTAATAACAGCGCAAGTCGCACACCTGTGGCAGGTATGTAAACACCACATAAACATTCATGAATACAGAGTAGTAGTGAGTTTTGCTTTTAACTGAATGACACACTGGATACATAATGCAAGTCAAAAGAGGTCTACTGTGTGTATGAAGTACACCCTTCCACTGAGTGACACTGACTGCTGAAGTTACAAAAGGAATATTGTAGTCCTGTGCTGGTTTTCATCTGCTTGGAACCTGAGGCTGGCTCCGTTGGTTAAATGTCGATAATACACCAAACAGAAAGTTACTGATTCCAGGCAGAAGAGGAACATGTTGTATACAAACTCAAGTACTGATAAGGGTGATTGAGTGAGTGAGTATGGTTTTATGACACTTTTAGCAATATTCCAGCAATATCATGGCAGGGGAAGCAGAAAGAGGGTTTCATACATTGTACCCATGTTGAAAATCGAAACAGGGTCTTTGGCATGACGAACAAACGCTTTGACCATTAGGTTACCCCACAGCCCCTGTACCGATGAGGCCCTCTATCAAGATATGTTATATAACCCTCATTTATCGTAACTAATAGTATAAGGTAGCAGGCAACAACTGCTGCATGACTACTGTGGCAGCCTACCTCTCTGCTGATGTCTGTGATGTCGTGCTGGAGGAAGGGAAGGGCTGGCTTCATGTTCTTTGACAGTAAACACAGCTGAAGAAAAAGGCAGGCAATTTCTAAACATGCTAAATGACTAATATTCATTGTGATCTTGGTGAAATTAGATTTAACATCACATTCATGATTATTTCAATATTTTCAACATTTGTTTTTGTTACCAAATATTTGTGACATGTATCAGATTTGCCTCATAGTGACTTCACGGCAGCCCTAATATTTATGCATCTTTGTGTGTGTTTGTGTTGCTACTTGACATGGACCAGATATGTCGATTTATAGTTGTAGCTCAATCAGATAACAGATGGTTTAACATGGATACCCACCCAGATACATATATGGTGACTCCATGCAAGCCGGGCTTTGTTACGTTCCCTTAATGTTGTTGTCAGGCAGGGTAACAACAAGTGCCTTCTTTAAAGGATTTTGGTGTGACACTGTCCTGGGGTCTAAACACCAACCTTACTTAACAACTGCTTCATAATAATATACTGAAAGCCATTAAAAGCAGTGGTGGTATTTGTTGTCCTGGAAACTTACAAAAGTTCTAGTGTGACTGACTGAGTTTGGCTTTACGCGCTTTTAGCAATATTCCAGCAATATCATGGCAGGGGAAGCAGAAAGAGGGCTTCATACATTGTACCCATGTTGAAAATCGAAACAGGGTCTTTGGCATGATCGAACAAAGCGCTTTGACCATTAGGTTACCCCACAGCCCCTGTACCAATAAGGCCCTCTATCAAGATATGGTTATATAACCCTCATTTATCGTAACTAATAGTATAAGGTAGCAGGCAACAACTGCTGCATGACTACTGTGGCAGCCTACCTCTCTGCTGATGTCTGTGATGTCGCTGGAGGAAGGAAGGGCTGGCTTCATGTTCTTTGACAGTAAACACAGCTGAAGAAAAAGGCAGGCAATTTCTAAACATGCTAAATGACTAATATTCATTGTGATCTTGGTGAAATTAGATTTAACATCACATTCATGATTATTTCAATATTTTCAACATTTGTTTTTGTTACCAAATATTTGTGACATGTATCAGATTTGCCTCATAGTGACTTCACGGCAGCCCTAATATTTATGCATCTTTGTGTGTGTTTGTGTTGCTACTTGACATGGACCAGATATGTCGATTTATAGTTGTAGCTCAATCAGATAACAGATGGTTTAACATGGATACCCACCCAGATACATATATGGTGACTCCATGCAAGCCGGGCTTTGTTACGTTCCCTTAATGTTGTTGTCAGGCAGGGTAACAACAAGTGCCTTCTTTTAAAGTATTTTGGTATGACACTGTCCTGGGGTCTAAACACCAACCTTACTTAACAACTGCTCCATAATAATATACTGAAAGCCATTAAAAACGCAATTGGTATTTGTTGTCCTGAAACTTACAAAAGTTCTAGTGAAGATTTTTTCCTGCGATACAGAGGATATAGGGATAAAAAGCTGTTATTCTGGCCCATTTCGAGTTCGAATCCCGGAGCATTCCTCTCACATGAACTTTGATACTTAAAACTGAAACTTTGACATTTCTCGTAAACACAACCACATTCATGAAACACGTTGTGCACATGCATTACCTGCACCCAGGCCCTGTAAAAGCACAAGGAATTGTGGAACTCAATCACTTTGAGAAAATGCCACACTTGACACAAGACGACTGACTGACTGAGTTTGGCTTTACGCCGCTTTTAGCAATATTCCAGCAAAGCACGGCGTGGGGACACCAGAAATGGGCTTCACACGTTGTACCCATGTGAGGATTCGAACCCGGGTCTTCGGCATGATGAGCCAACGCTTTAACCACTAGACTACCCCACCGCCCCGACACAAGACGAAAGGAATCAGGTTATCGGTATGGTCAGCCTAGGTGCTTCAGATGTGATGATTGCCAGGCACTTTAATGTGCATCCATCCACTGTAAGTCGACACAGACAACGTTTTTGGGCTACCGGAAGTGTTGCTGATCGTCCGCACCCTGGTGCACCACCTGTGATAACAGCTCGACAAAACCGCAATATCCGAGTTTCACACTTGCGAAATCGGTTCCAAACAGCTGATGATGAGGCAAGGAGGACAATTGGGACAAGTCAATGTCATTTCAGCGCCCAAAAGGTGCAAGGACGCCTTCAACATCCGGTGTCGTCACCCGTACCGTGGTCCAACCTTATTGCATCGCCACAGACTTGCCAGACAGCGATGGGCAGCAAATGGGGCCAATCTTGGCAACAGGACATGGCCAGATGTCATTTTTTTCAGATAAATCCAGGTTTAACTTATCCTTTGCAGATGGACGTCAACAGATTTATCGACGTAAAGGAGAAAGACTTGCCCCAAACTGTGTCCTTGAACATGATCGTTTAGGAGGGGGTGGTGTCATGATCAGACCACAGACCATCAGAGGCTGCAGACCATGTCTTGCAGCGCACGGTGGACACACACGATATTGACTGCAAGTGACCCCTCCTTTGTGTGATGTCATTGTTGCGTCACTGATGTTGTTGTTGACTGGACATTTTCAGATGAAATTATTCACAGATGTTCACTTAAAACATATCTGCCAGTTAGGTTTATATATGTTGAAATTAGTGTGAGTAAAGAAAGTATGAATGTCAAATTGCATTTTTAATGGCTTTCAGTATAGATACAGTGAACCGACAACGACTTTCTGGCCCCAACAAGCAATTTTAATGAAATATATAAGCATTGATTTTATTGACTTGTCAGTCACTTTGTGTGTCATGATGGGTTTCAGACATTTTGAAAAAGCGTGATGTTTTGAACAAAGAATAATTATTTGTCATCAACATTGTTTTAATGTGTTGCACAATTACAAAAGTGCTATAAATCTATGCATAGTTTACCTGACAGAGGTCAGCATGAATTGATGTCAGCTGTTCTGGAAACAACTGAATCTTCTGAATGGCTGTTGTCAACACCTTGATTCCTCGAATAGGCTGCAACGAAATGATTATTAAAACATCAGTCATGCAAAGTAAACAAGTATTTTTTACTTAACATACGGTAATACCATGCAGTTAGCAAGGTTATGGATCTCTAAAGAGTGATGTACTTCTCTGTCTTACAACAGAATTTCAAAGATGATTTCCATGATATTTAAGCAAACAGGTTTAAAATATAACTGAGGTGGTCTTGTTAGTGTTACTTGTTGAACATGTATGCCACATTCTAGCAGTCTTTTGTTTCCACACTTTGTACATGATAGATTGCATGTCATGAATATTGTAGCCTCTCACTACTTTCTACAATCTGGCTCTCCTGTATTACCTCTTTCTTCTCTACTAGCTTGTGTGTAAACTTGTGACATAGGTCCGCAACTGAAGACAAGAATAACACATGTACAGAGACAGAGGTAAGAATATATCAGAAACTGGTGCCAAGCAGTTGGGTTAACAACCCAGAGTGGAGGATACCTGACCCCTTCCACTAATGATGTGGGATCGGGTGGTCAGGCTCGCTGACTTGGTTGACACATGTCATTGTATCCAACATAAGGCGAACAATGCTCATGCTGTTGATCACTGGATTGTCAGGTCCAGAGTCGATTATTTACAGACCACCATCATATAGCTGGAATATTGCTGAGCGCTGCGTAAAACAAACTCACTCACTCACTCCTCCAATGTTGGTGAGAATTTTCCCCACTGTGTGGAACAGGTTTTCTTGGTATAACAGTAACCATAATAGGTGACTGAATCTTATCGATGCAAGAATTAGCTTACTGCAGTCGAACACCTTCTGCCTGATATCTTTCAGACTGATTGCATATATCAGACTAGCTTGTTTTTCCATGGCTCTAAAACTAACTAGGAACAATTTGATTACACCAACATCGACATTCAAACCATTTTATGGCAATCTGTAAAAACACTTGGGCAATAATACCATGTTAAGTCTCAAACTGACAAATGTATACATATCTTTTAGTCCCCTGGACATTTGAGTTGGCAAGATTTCTTTGTACATCATTTTGATCATCATTATCCTGAATATATTTGGTATGTAAAAGTTAGACTGTTACTCACAACTGTCAGTGGCATATCGGACTTGCTCTCCATTGCAAGTTGTGATGAATTCTTGAGTCAGTCCATAAAGGGCCTCAAAGTCAGGGATATTGGGAAGATTGTATTTGACACATCTACAAAAATATCACAGTTTTATGAAAATGCTTTGAGTGCCTGATAAATCATATGAACAAACAGGATACAGCATGTATTGAGTATATATATGATCAATAACTATAATATCATTTGTTTATAGATCTACTGTAAAATATACAAGAAGACAAAGTCATCATTAACCCCCGCAATTGTAAAATACTCTTCATGAATATGTCAACTAATTATGACTATGTCAAATGTTACATTATTCTTCACATTGATCTAAAGAAAACATACATATGTAAACGATTCATATACTAGCATGCTTGTATCAACAACAGACTGACTGAAACACGGTTTGATGTACCTCAGTAATGCTGATAAAGAAATAGAGTGGTACTGTTGATTTATGTCATTAGGTTCCTGAATGCTCACAAAGTGGAATTAGAGTATTGAAAGGTTTTTAAGTTCTGCACCAATTTCAGTCAAAGTAAAACTTGTTGCCATGGAAATGCAAAAATATCTTATTCAGAATTCCAAAACTACCAAAAGGCACCAGTTCACCACTAGACCTATCTGTGTCCAAAGTTTCGTGAAGAACGGTTTATATGTTCTGCTCCTGAAAGAGGAATTTGCACGGACGGACAGACACATGGAGTACAAAATAATACCCCACATTTCTGTGAAAAAAAATCCATGATTTTTCAAGACAAACATTGCTTTATCCAGACACAACAATATATGTCCTAGAGTATTTTAATACCTTTAAACACATATATTACTGTGTCTGAAATAAAACAATGTCTTAAGTTAAATACGGCCTCCCATCTCCCCTTACAGCTGTCCATTCACACCTCTTTATGATAAGATGAATTAATAAAAATGAAACATCAATTGTAGCAATTTTTCTTTTACTCTTTAACCATCTTTATTGACATACAACCAATATATTGATGGCTGCCACAGCCCTTGTAGTACTGTTTAGATATAGGGAGTACTGCACTTTACCGGGCGCATTTTTTCACATTAATTAGAGCTGCTGGGGCTTGAACGCGCTTTCGCCGGATTACTGAATTCGTTAATTAGTGACGTAATTAGCGGACGCTCTACCTCGGGACCACGAGCACCATCACAATGAATGAGTGCTCGTTTAACGGGTCATTTGCTCAGAAATAAGGTATGGAAATAAACCAGCGCGAATTGAAAACAAACCACTCGCTCCACGCCCTTCCCATTCATTTCTTTTCGCGCCATTATTTCTTGGACTGTACTGATGAGTACCGGACGGATCGAAATGTGTTTCAATTTGATATAATAGGAATATACTGCCCTAAGGTAAAGTCAAACCCTAAATAAGAATCGGAAAGGGTCCCTAACCCTACCCCTCTTCCAATCCTAACCCTAAGGATGGGAAAGGGTGCCATACCCTAACCCTAACCCCTAACCCTAAGGATCGTAAAGGGTGCCTAACTCTAAGGATCATAAAGGGTGCCTAACCCTAAACCCTAAGGATCGTAAAGGGTGCCTAACCCTAAGGATCGTAAAGGGTGCCATACCCTAACCCTAAGGATCGTAAAGGGTTGTTTGACTCTAAAGACTCTAAGGATCGTAAAGGGTGTCATACCCTAACCCTAAGGATTGTAAAGGGTTGTTTGACTCTAAAGATGCAAGTAAAGGGAGACAATTACCGCGATATAGCGAGACAGCACTTGAGACAGTGCTATAGTAGCGATAACTAACCCCTGCCGAGCGAGCAGCGAGGGCTGGCGTCTGGTTAAAGTGCATTCTAGCCAAGATATACAGTTTTGTCTGATAAAAAAACCAAAGATTATTCCATCCATATTTTTCAAATTCCATGATTTTTCCAAGACTGAAAAATGGGGTGTGAAATTTTCAGGTTTTCCAGGTCTTGTAGGAACCCTGTTGAAAGAAATATACAGTAGGCACATACAGAAAAAGCATAGAAGTTACACTCACAGAATTCCCAGCATTCCAAGAGAATGCTGCTGCACATCCAGGGTAGCTAAAACAGTATCCAGGTGGGCTGCATTCTTGGCCAGAATGTCTGCACTTTTACTGATGAACTCACATAGCTGTGTAAAATTACCTACAAATAAACATGTCACAATGAATGAGCTGGTTGAAACTGGTATGAGAACTGTAATGGCATTCAGAATTAAACATTGTCAACGACTGGGCGTATATTGCTGTAAATGTAGTTTTACCATCCGCATGAGCTTGTTGAACTTGTTCCGTAGGATGTGACCGAAAACCGGACATAAACATTTCAGCAACGAAGAACGCATCAATATAGCCAATAGATACGATCAAATCATTCCTATCTTTTGAACAGACTGTGAAGAATAATTCTGCACATCTGCCACCTACAAAAAACACCCTTATTGTATACCTTGTGAAGATAGAGTCTGAACCGTATTCACATAATTCTCGAGTGCCGACGCCATTTTGGAAACGTCCGCCCACACGCATCACGGACAAACAACAATGTGTAAGGAACACTCATAAAACATCATCTATTCTTACACTTTATGTCTTTGTGATTAACAATAGATTGCATAACAACTTTGAAGAAACATACAATGTAGATTTCAATATTTATGATATTTTGTTTAGGTTTTAAGCGATACTACGTATTTCAACACGTGAGTGAGTTTAGTTTTACGCCGCACTCAGCAATATTCCAGCTATATGGCGGCGGGCTGTAAATAATCGAGAAATTAGGGCTGGGATGGGTAACCCGGATACCGGTAGGGTAAAGAGTTGGACCCTGGTACCCGTCACGTGACCTGCTTTGATCACGTGACTAATAAATGAAGACTTAATTGAATGTGTTTATAATAATTATTATTATATTTGAGATTGTTGTCTTATGTTTGAGATTGTGGACTAAACTAGCACTGAAAACTCACAAGATATCAACTGTCGACAACCATGCATGTCATGTGTAACACAGGTTGCAAGTACGCCAAGTAGTTAATTGTTTACATGTAAAAGACTCAGGAACGCAGACGTCCGCCTCAAATAGAGTCTGAACAAATCGCGAAGGTAGACGTATTGTTACCGATTAGGTAACTCGGTTTCAAAACATTTACCAAACTGCACGATGCATTAGTTTGGCCAGTTATAACTTAAGGCATTTCAATCTATGGAACAGAGGACTATTCATCAACCAACGCAATGCAAAACCATGCAATGAGATTTTACCTAGGTCTAGGCTAGTGAAGTCGAGGCTAATGAAGAAGTTATTGGTGACATGTGATGGAACCCTGCAACTAAGTGTACGACAAGATATATGCTTGATTCGTTACTGGAGGTGAATGGTGAATATGGACCAAGAGTATAAAGCCCTATGTTTTTAATTGGGAAAATAACCAAGCACTGAACAGACACAAGCCTTGGCACTTACCTTTTTACCGGCGAATGAACACATTGGGAATCACCAAATAAGCTCTTTTAAACAACATCATCACCGTAAAAGACTGTGAAGAACTGTCGTTACAAGCTTTTATAAGAACAAGGGAAAATGCATTACACCTGGAGAACTCAAACCCACGGGGAAAACGGGGATCGGGGAAAAACAAACCCAGGCACTACAGAACTCGGGCCCTCGTGTTTTTGCAAGGATTAAAGATTTATATAATTTTGTTCAGATGTTTCAACATCGATTACGTACTCCCTTCTTTGTGACTTAGCTGCACTGTGCACAAAGTGCATTTTCTTTGTGCATGATGTGACGTATTCAAAATATTTCCAGACGCCACTTTTAATCTCGGTCATAACTGATTTTATTGAAGGAGAAGAACTCGCAATTAGTGTTATAACGGGTACCCGGGTCGGGTCGGGTAATAGGGGGTCAGGTACCCGGGTAGGAAATTTGGACCCGTCCCAGCCCAACGAGAAATAATGTTGAAATTTCCCCATGGCGTAGGTCGATGCTCATGATGTTGATCACTGGATTGTCTGATCCAGACTCGATTATTTACAGACCGCCACCAGGACTGGAATATTGCTGAGTGAAGCGTGAACCAACCAACCAACCAACTCTGGCGGTCCGGCTCGGTGACCGCGTGCCCAGGTGTCCCGCTGGACAGTTTCTCATGCTGTCAGTCTCAACCCAATTACACGTGATAGTGCAAACAGAAGTACGAATACGAATGCCTAAACTGCAGAGAACAGATCCAAAATGTTCTCCACTAAAACGCTCGTAAAATCTTGAAGTTTAGCCAGATAGGATATTACTGCCAATTATCAAGTTGGTGCTTTTGGTTTGTTTGTTATTTTTATTTTACTTAGTTATTTATTTAGTTACTTTTATTATTTTTTTATTTTTATTTTATTTATTTTTTATTTGTTTTATTTATTTTATTTTTTTTTTTGGGGAGGGGAGGGAGTGTGTTGATGATGATTTTAAGGGGTTGGGGTCAGCCATTTTGTTCTTCATAAGAAGTATGGGAAATGAGTGGGGGTCATTGACTTTGTGTATGACATGCAGAGGAGGACAGCATTATTCCAACTATTACGACTACTGTCTGGAGATCGATTCTGCACGTTGTAAACCATTAAGTGATTCATACAAATAATGTAAAACGTGCACACTGCCGCGTTACAACGAATACATGCAGCCAACCAAATATGTCTAACAGCCTTACCATCACATCTAATACGTCGTCACAACTAGCATGACTCGGTGGGGACGTATTCTTACGGTCTGTTTGCAGGTTTGGTCTGAGTTTGCTGTTTAACACCGCACTCAGCAATATATTTCAGCTACACGACTGGGTCTGTAAATAATCGACTCTGGACCAGACAAGCGAGTGATTGACGCCATGAGCATCCACGCAATTGGAATACGATGACATGCATCAACCAAGTCAGCCAACCTGACCACCCGATCCCGTTAGTCGCCTCTTACGCCAATCACAGGTTACAGAAGATCAGTTCTAACCAGGAACTTCTCTTGTCTATCAACGATAGATATCTACGAAGGTTAATCCTATCCCCTGTGTTACCTTAAATCCCATTCTCTTTCCCATTTGTGCTTCAAATAACAGTGTGTTCTATTGTGAAATGGATGGTGTATTTTAACAGGAAGCAATAAGGCTTATGGTGAATAGGTAAGTGGCGGGGATTGAAGATGGTGGACGTGGTGTGCAGGTTTCATGTGAGATTACCGTTATATGCAATGAGTAATGTGGAGGCGTGATTATGGTGTTACATCAATATTGTAACATGCACTTTGGGTGTCAGCACTTTGGAAATAAACGTATTAAATTATTATTCTTAAAAAAAGGGAAGAATGGGGGTGGAGGTCATTGATTTGGTATATGGCATGCGGGGAGGTGGGGGTTGGTGGGGGCGTCACTTACCTTGCACATACATTTTTGGGAGGGGAGGGTGTGTGTTGATGATGATTTTAAGGGGTTGGGGTCAGCCATTTTGTTCTTCATAAGAAGTATGGGAAAGGAGTGGGGGTCATTGACTTTGTGTATGACATGCAGAGGGGGACACTTACTTTGCACATATTTTTTTTAATTTATTACTTTTTTGTGGGGGTGGTGAATGTAAAGAGTATTAAACTATTATTCTTAAAAAATGGGAAGAGGTGGGGGAACTGATTTTGTATATGACATCCAGGAGTCACTTACTTTGTACATAAATTGGGGGCGCATTCGCATTACAAATGCTTCTCCATTTTTTAAGTCTGGCTGCCAATGGTTAGTATGAGAAGGAGGAACCACAGCAACCGCAGCAGCAGCAACAACAATAACAACAGCAAGAGGGTCGGTTTCTCAGTTGATGCATGTCATCGTAGGTCATTTGGTAGATCACTAATCAAGATGTCAGTCATTGGATTGTCTGGTTCTGAGTCGTTTATTTACAGACCGCTATCATATGTCTGGAACTATCAATAACAAACAAGACCTGGAGTGGGAAAGTTCTGCAGAGTTGTTTCCCTTGGTGTACAGTGCCACATTTGGAAATATCAGTTAGTTTTGTGGACTGACTGTAACCATTCTGTTGATCAGGATCATATTGAAGCCATTTATGATGAGGATGAAAATGATGATGATGATGAAACCAGAGACCATATATTATTAATGAAGTGAGGGTATTCTAAATAAAACGGAATCAATACATTGTCAATATAAATAACCGTCTTCTATCATTATATTCATACTGTTTGGCATCATTTCGAAAAATAGTGTAGTGTGTGTGTTTGCGTGCGTGTTTACATCCATCCCTCTACCTCTCTGAATAAACCAGTCATCTTGAATTCAATAGACAAATGTCTATATTTAACAATACACCAGAAAGCCTGCGTCACGTGGCTACAATCACAATACCTCTCTTGTAAGAATGATAAACGAGGCACAAGACTATTATTCAAAGATTATATTCAAGTCTAAATTAACTTTACTGAAACATATATTCATGATTTAATTGTTACGCGTTTAATTTGTTTGCGCATCACATCCAATTTCTCGCATCACACGAAACACGTGTTCTTCCTGCACGAGCATAGTTCGCCAGTCACGACATACGTTGCACATTCACGTTGTACTCGCTCGTACTGATCGTGCAAGTCACGACAAAGAGTGTTTGTGTTCTTCATGCAGGTACTTATATGCTCCCAGGTAACAATTTCACGTTGTCACAACGTTATGCTTTCGTTGTTACAACGTTATTCTGTGGACTCCCATTTGCGTTGTCACAGCGTTGCATGGCCTGACGTTGCACTTGATACGTCATTTTTACGTCGCCAGAAGGTTAAATTGTGTGATGCTAACGTGTGTGTACGTTGTCTTAAGGTCCTATTTTACGTTAATAGTTGAATAGCTTTCTCAGTAGTAAACAGTACATATGTACATATGAAAGTAGAAATTCACTTCAAGGTTTTGGGTTGTTTTGAATTTGCATGTTGTTTTGGTCGTGTTTTCTGAAGCTGTAATAGTGAAGAAAGCATTTCAACGTATTACTGCAAACCCTATCGTGACATCAAGTTATAAGAAAGCATATATAAGGTTTTCTCAGGGTAAATGTGCAACGTTGTTATTACGTTGTGAAATAACGTTATAAAATGACGTAACACTAACGTGACAACGTTGTGTCATGACGTTAGCAATCTAAAACTTTCCCACAACGTTGCGAGAACGTTGTGTGTTAGCTGGGTTTGTACATGGTGCCTGTGATCGCCAAGCATCGGCTTCGTCGTCACTCATAGCATGATCCCCAACATTCGTAACTACTCGTGTCATTCCGGCAAGCCGTTTAGGTCACGGAAAGAGGCGATTAGTTACGAATGCATACCCCAAGTAGTGTTCATCGTCTTTGTTCTCATGGTCAGTGTTAAGACATGTTGCTGTAAGGTGTTTCTGTTATTGCGTTTTTTCTCTAACAAAACAGTTACCGTTCAATAAAAATTGAATCTTGTTCATTTTATTGATTTAATACCAGTTTGCTCGATGTA